GATACAAAATTATGATTCATCGAATTCTTGTTCAAAACATTTAAAAGCATGTGTCTATGAAGATGTGGATGAGGCAGTTTTGAAGTGGACAGTGTGAAAAATAAAAACAATACAGCAATGAATTGCGATGAAGACGAAGATGATGAAGATGGAAATGACCATGATGCAGAAATCAACAAATCTTCGTATGATGAAATGCTAAAATTCATTAATTTTAATATAAAATTATTTTTTAAAATTGAAAATATAGTGTATTCCAGGACAATGTTTTGTTTTATTCTTGTTTTCCTTGCAGATTTCTTTTTGATGGGTAAAATATATAAAACAAATAGATATTAATTTACAAAATAAAGGTATGATTAATTACTTTTCTAATAATATTTAGTGTTCATGAATTTAAAATCTGTTTTGTGAAGTTTAAAGTATTTTAAAATGTGAATCTCTATTTAACGAATTTTCCATATAACGAACTTTTTTCCGGGATTTAGCGACCTCGTTAAATAGAGGTCCGACTGTATTTTATTCCCAAGTCTTCTAAAATATTACAGGTTAAAGCAACTTTAACAGAACTCTTTCAACTTATAATATTTGTTTTGCAAATATATGGAATTTTTAACTCAATTGCTACCACCCTGAAAAATATTGGTGCAAAAATTAAAAAAAAATAATATTCATCATAAAAGGTATGATTTCGTTTATGATGAATATCATTTTGATATTCATCATTAATGAAATCGTGCTGACCCCGCAGTAGGAGCATTAAATCTGAACAATATACAATAATAGGATCAACGTATGGAGTTAAGGAATTTAAAATATTATGCGTTATGTATGTCCAAAATATTTTTAAACTGTTGTAATGAATGCATAATATATTGCCCAACGCTTTAATTTAGTTTGACTTGTTTCTTGTTTGTAAAGATGGAATTTTGTAATCAATTTTACGCTCACTTCTTGATGTTCTAGAAGATTGAAATTATGTGCACTTCTATAGTCACGATAGAAACACATTATTTAAATATTCTTAGGGATTTATTATTTTTTAATCATTAATAAAGTTAAATGTGGATTCCGTACATGTGGCGCCACCTGTTAGTGAATTTGAGAAACAATAGATCTCTGAATTAAATATAGAAAATAATTAAAACAAAAAAATAGTTCTCCTGGTTATAACATTTAAAATTTTTTACCTTTAAATACTTTCCCAATAAATTTTATTGATTAATCCTAATACAAGCATAATAAGTGTTAAAAATTCCTTATATGTGCATAATGCGTATGAACATTCCGAATACGTGCATAATAAATTTTAACAAAGCTAATGTGCATATGATAATTGAACCGTTCCTAATGAATGATGTGCTTTGACTATTTCACACTTGTCAATGAATGCTGAACATTTTTTACAATGTAATAAATTTAAGCTTTTAAATATTGGACACTTATCTTTTATGAAAAAAATTTGTGGCACTAAATTACGTTAGGCACATTCACAATGATAAGAAATTTCAGGTGATAGCCATGTTAGCACTTGACTAGGTCATATATGTCCAAACAGTTCCTGAAGTGGTAAATTGATTATTCAACCATGATTTTAAAACTAAATGATATAATTACTTAAAAACTTTAATTCGAATTGAATTCATTACTTTGCTTTTGATTTCCTTAGATACTTCTTCGTATATTCTTTTCTCGAAGTCTATTTCATTTAAAAGGGAGTAAAGATGTTGAAGTTTTGAAAATGTTTCAATCTTCTGTAATAATATGGAAGCAAATTTCCAAATAAAAAAGTTTTAAAAATTCTTTTTAACGAAATCTCAATCACAAATTTTTACATGACATTAATTAATTTCATTGAATCCCTTTTACAATTCACTGCGTTTACACCAATGTTAAAACCAGTTAGACATATCGCTATTTTTATGTATAATGTTAAAATGTATCGCAAGCTTGTCATAACAAAATGCAATTAGAGCATTAAAAAAGAGCTAAGTCGGATAAATAAAAAATATGGGAATAAAGGATGTTTCATTTAAATGTCAGACAATGATTAAATTTCCATGTTGTTTATCCAATATTTGCATGATAAAAGATTGCAGGATAAGTATTTCATCCACATTCAGATATATCGTCGTATTCTTTGTTAAATGAATAATGCCAAAAATAACATATTTTTATAAATAAATCCCTGTTTTATACCTTTTAGTTTTATTTGATTTATTAATTGGAAATTTGATGCTATATTTCTTTTGTTTTGGATATGAATTGGCGTCAATTTACAAAAATGAGAAACAAATTCAGTCATTTTTTCCCTTCTTTCTTCTTAAAACTTCTAAATAAATTAATGAGTATAAAAGATAAATCTATCAATATTACTGAAAAAGTTTTATTAATTGATCTCAACGTGTTGAAGAATAAAACAAAAGGATCCATATTTAGATATATTTGTATCCTTTGTTTATGAATATCAGCAGTAATATATTTTTAAGAAGTTATCAGTATTTTATATTTTCTTGATTTATTTGCCACACTATTATTATATATTATTTGTTTTGGCACTTAAGTGGAGTAAAGTTACCAAAATGGGAGATAAATTAAATGAAATATTTTTACCGTCTCTATTAAAATCAGACTTTATTAAAGAATAAATGAAAGTGCAAAATAAATACTGAATCACTGAAAAATTAATTAAAAAATAATATTAATTATAAAGATTGCAGATGTTTGTTTAAAGCATGTTTTGGTTTAGTATAAAATATTTCACAAAAGGTATATTTATCTTTATTGTTGGTTTATGTGTTCAATAAAGTATTCACTCTTTTGATCCGGAAGAATTGTTATTTTTCTTGAACGCCCGAGTAATTTAAATTGATAGTAGGATGTCTGAGTGCCATAGAGCTGAATTATTAAAGAATTATCCTTTGAAATATTAGAGAATAATCTTGCAATTATTAGATTTTGAATTTTTTGAGAAATATAATTTTACATGAATATCAGAATAATTTATGTGCATATTAGTACGTTTGTGTGCCAATATAGAGTGGGATGTCAACTTAGACATTTCTTCATTTGATTATTGTTCAAAATTAAATAACCCATTTGTCATTAATCATGTGATCATGAATTGACTACATTGTTTTATAATGTTACTGAAAAATCAGAATAATTTAAGTACATATTAGTGAAAAATGTTACTGAAAAATCAGAATAATTTAAGTGCATATTAGTACGTTTGTGTGCCAATATAGAGTGGGGTGTCAACTTAGACATTTCTTCATCTGATTATTGTTCACAATTATCAACAACGCCGTAGTTGCAATAACTCCTAATGCAGCAGTAAATTGAAAATATATCGAGCAGCATGAAATTGTGATAATCATTATATCTTGTAACATGTACCATAAGTACAATGTGTTAGTTATTTTTTATTTCATATATAGTTTTCATTTTTCTTGCTTTGCATCAACTTTTTTGCAAACCACCTTTTCAAGAAGCCACTTTGGAATGCTGATTTGTAAATTTTTCCTTCTGTAAATATAAAAAAGATAACAAAACAAACATTAAGATAAATAACAAGCCAACAGAAAGTAAAATAACAAAATCAACTAATAAATTAAATAATAAACAAAATATAATAAAAGAAACAAGCGAATGATAACATAAATAAATAAATAAAAATATAGTGACTAACAAACAATAGCATAGCAAAAGATCTGAACAATAATAAAGAAATACAATAAATTAAAATAATAATCTAAGAAAACCCCCTAACTGATTAACAATTTACAAAGGAAGAAATTTTTTTCCTAATTTATTTAAGAAGATTAAATTTGTCTAAATTCCGTAAACATATAAAAAATTATAGTTTTAAAAGAAACTCGCATCAATGAACTTGTGGTGCACCGTGCTGCGCCATCATATTCTGATGTATATAAGTCAGTATCCACCTCCGGACAATGGGGATTCCTTTTGTCTAGTGGTTAAGAAAAGAGACTCGGGACCCAAAGGTCCCCCCTTCTAAACTACGTACTGCGAAAAACTCAATTGTTTATCATGAACCTGCACATTTGCGATGTCACGCCAAAAGTCTTCTCCACAAGATATCTAAAACATTCCAAAATTAAATTAAATAGCCCATTCGACGTTAATCATGTGATCACGAATTGACTACATTGTTTTATAATTTTACTGGAAAAGTGGTAAACCAAGAAATAATACTATCATATAAGTGTGCTTCTGATTTCTTAAATACTTATAAACAGGACATAATACGTTGGGTTATAATATATTGAAACTTTAACGAAATACCTCAAGATTCCTGGGTTCGTTCATTCACCATTATTTTGATAAAATAAAAGCATTTAAAATAATCGTATTTGGATGCACGATGCTATCAAACAATCTGGGAAGATAAGAACTTATCAAAAATTATTTCACTGAAAAACTGACATGACCTCTTTAAATCTGAATGGAACAATAATAATTTGATTAAAATGCAATTAAATAGCATAGAAAAGGCTTATGGTATAACATCATACCTTGTAAGTAAGCAGTCAACTCATTTCTTCAACACTTTTTAACTATATAGCATTGAGACTCAACACTTTCGCTACCATGATTCATGTCTGAGATAGAAACCATATATATAATTTGATGACCCCTTCTCTGTTAACTCTTAACTGCAGTAGAGAAGGGGTCATCTGATTAGATAAGGCGTGACGCCACCCCAAACCCCTGGTGCCTATAACCTCAAGGGTTATCTAACCTGTTGGGTGGGTGGAGGGCACAACAATTTCCACCACAGTGCCCTGGGAACCCACACGAATGACATACCCCGAACAACTTTAAATTCTCCACTCCCCCATGGTTTAAACTTATGAATAAACCTAAAACTTAGACTGGAGAAATTACTGAATCAGAACAAATATATGCCTTGTCTGGGCAACACACTATTAAAAAGTTTGACATTTATAGACAGAAATAAAAAGTTAGCCACCGCTCGCAGTCGGCAGGATTCGAACCTGCGCCTTAAGATCCCATTGGATTTCTAGTCCACGGCATTAGCCACTCGGTCACGACTACACAATCTGTCTTCTTAAATAGTAGATAAGAATCTTATTTGATTGACGTGTTATAAACAATAATCGAAAATTGATGGGTCCCTTTATATTGAGAATGACATATTTCATATCCTGTTAAGATGCTAAGAATGAACACAAAAATTATTCATTTTTTGATGAATATAAAAACTTTCCGTTGCTTTAAAATACTAAAAAGTTTATGGAAGCAAAATAATATTACACTACGCTATGTACGTAAACAATCAATTCATTCTTACTTATATCATAATGGCATGTGTTAAATCGCGTTACATTTTTCCGTTCTGTTATTGAAACTTTAAAGAAATGTTTCAAAATTCTTGGATTCGATCGTATATCCTTAATTAGATGAAAGCAATATTCGAAAACCTGTTTAGATGTCACGATTCGTTCCCAGACGTTGGAAAGATGCGAAACTTCCAAGAATTATTTCATATTTGTCACGAATCGAACACTGCAAAAACTGACACGAAATTCCGAAATTTTTGAAGGGAAATTTAATTTTCCTTCCCAGCAGAGCAATAAATTCTGTTACCAAATGCGCACTTCGGCGGCAAAACAAATGACTAACGGGCTGCTGCATTTAGGGAATTGAATATCCAGAAATCGAATTTTCCCTTCGGCGAATTTTTTTTTTCTACTCCTACTTCTTCTTTCATCTTCCCTTCCCTTCAGTTCTGTTTCGCAGAATAATGAATGGTTACGATATAACGACAAATCTGGCAACATGTTTGTTTCCCGCGTGCAACAGCAGAAACAGCACGTTCAGTTCGGTCTGAAGAAGAAGAAGAGAAATGGAAAGAAGGGAAAAGTTATTTTTTAATTTTCGTAAAAGGGAACCTTTTGAAAATAAATGAAACGAGGGGTAAGAAAATCGATCTTTTCGTTCCATTCTTTCGTTCATCGCGACGACTGGCTTTAAAAATTTGATACCACCTACCCTATTTGACTTTTACTGCGGTACTATTTAGTCGTTTGTCTTGTTGTCACCGAGGTTTTTGCAATCTCCATTTAAAAGAACACTTGCTCGATTGCTTGCAGTGTCGGTAATCTCTGTTTCGCTACTAAGGCATTCATCTTGCGGGGAGATTTTTACTGCAGCGATGTAGGAAAGAAATGGTCGTGTAAAACTGTGCATTTAAAAAAATAGAATAGGAATCATATACGTCTTGTAGTTGTGATGAAAAATATATAAAAAATTCAGAAGAATTCGATTTAAGATGAAAGCTACTGGAAGAAAGTTGGTTGAAAAAGTTATTGATGTAACAAAGATGAAAGAAATTAAAATAAAGGAAAGTTTCGTACATACTGCAGTAGCGCGATTCTTGCATAGATTTGTCACTTTGCGTATGATGAGAAAGTAAATATTTATTACAGATATGTTACTAGAGTAATTTTTCATAAAGCTGTTATTTCGGAAACAAGAGATTATTTTACAATCATGTAATTTAATGAGGTACTTTGTATGATTAATGTAAAAGAGTACATAGGCGAATAATTTAATTTTTATTACTACAGAAAATTCACTGCCTGCAGAAATTTGCCATGAAATATTATACTCTTATAAAAACTCTGCATTAATAAATATATTTTTATTATATTTTTATTTTAATTATTCCTACCTTGACTTTTATTGTGGTATCATATAGTCGTTTTTCTTGTTGTCACCGAGGTTTTTGCAATCTCCATTTAAAAGAACACTTGCTCGATTGTTTGCAGTGTCGGTAATCTCTGTTTCGCTACTAAGGCATTCATCATGATTGCAGATTTTTACTGCAGAGATGTACCAAAGAAATGGTCGTGTAAAACTGTGCATTTAAAAAAATAGAATAGAAATCATATACGTCTTCTCGTCGTGATGAAAAAAATATAAAAAATTCAGAAGAATTCGATTTAAGATGAAAGTTACTGGAAGAAAGTTGGTTGAAAAAGTTATTGATGTAACAAAGATGAAAGAAATTAAAATAAAGGAAAGTTTCGTACATACTGCAGTAGCGCTATTCTTGCATAGATTTGTCACTGTGAGTATGATGATAAAGTAAATATTTATTACAGGTATGTTACTAGAGTTACTAAGTAAAGCTGTTATTTCGGAAACAAGAGATTATTTTACAATCATGTAATTTAATGAGGTATTTTGTATGATTAATGTAAAAGAGTACATAAGTGGATACTTTAATTTTTATTACTACAGAAAATTCACTTACTACAGAAATTTGCCAAGAAATGACATACACTTTTTAAAAAACTCTGCATTAATAAATAAATATTTTTTATTTTAATTATTCCTATCTTGAATTTTATTGTGGTATCATATATTTTGTGTGATTTATATAAATGTTTGTCTTGTTGTCACCGAGGCTTTTGCAATCTCCATTTAAAAGAATATTTGCTCGATTGCTTGCAACATCGGTGATCTACGTATCTCTGCTGCGGCATTCATCTTGTGGGAGCATTTTTACTGCCGAGATGTAGCAAAGAAATGGCCGTGTAAAATTATGCTTTCAAAAAAAATAGGAATCATATAAGTTTTGCGTCGTTATGAAAAAAAATTCAGAAGAATTTAATTTAAGATGAAAGTTATGACAAAGAAAGTTGGTTGAAAAAGATGGGTATGTTACGGAAAAAAAGAAACTGAAAAGATTTAAAATTTCGCACACAATTCAATTTTTTTCATAATCATCATTTAAAAACAAATTTTAAGCAATTTTGGGTGTTATTTTTATTATATTATTAGTTTAGTGTTAACCCAAGAAACTATATAGGGATTCGATTTAAGAGAAAATCTATTTCAGATAATAATGAGTAAAAGGGGAACGGTAGGTAACAAAACACAATGAGTTAAAAATAATAAAGATATTTTATACACGATTCAAATATGTTATTGTTACATAAAGGTTATGAAATCTATGATGAAAGGAATATTTATCTTAGTGACATAAGGAGTAAATCTTTATTAAACATTATTTCTACCAAGATGTGTCAAAAGACACCTTTCAAATTTCAGCTTAAAATTATTCCCTAAGTTCAATCATTTCTCCACAATTAATCGTGTGACTTTTCGTACAATAGTTGTTAAATTAATTCAGCGATATTATTCTCCTCCAGCTCATCCTAGATCTAAAAATATGCATATGGTAAACCTATATCTGCCATGTGGTGTCTTTTGACACCTTAAGGATTTCATAACATTGTCTCATTTCAAACCATTTTACATATAAATACACCATTTTGCAGTTTAACCGCTTAACTTAACAGCCCGAGAATACTCGTGCATCGAAATATCGAAATTTTAGTCTTACAAACTGAAATTGAATCATTAATTAGCTTTATAATTTGACACAAAAAATATGTAGGATCCATAAACATCTTAAGTATCCTATGCCTTCTTAGATGAATGAAAACGACAGCCCCTTTGCAAACCAGGAGGGGTCATCTTATTAGATAGCAAAGAAAACTATTCAGTTAAGTGGTTAATATCAATTATAATCAGATTAGAGAATCCTGATTTTAGAGTCAAAAATAAATAACATAAGTGCCCTATTAGCTCAAGATATTTTGAGATATCTCTTTGAATGCCTCACAACATTGTAAAGATATTATATGAATGTTTTATACATCTTGTGCTAATAGGAAAAAAATGCTCGGAATTTAAAGGAAGCTCACAACCTGAAAGTGAAGATGAGTTGAATGATTCTTTCGAAAGTAACACGAATTAGCTGGCGATTATGAAAATTACTCATCAATCACTAATGAAGAAGAAGATAATTTGAATGCAAGTAGAGGACGAAAGAAAATGAGATTGTTGACGGATTCTGAAGACGATGGTGAAGAAAGCAATGGACGGCAAAATATTGAAATTGCTATTGATGGAACAGTTTGAAAAAGATCGAAGCAAGTTCCTCTCCTGGCAGACCACCTCTTCATCCCGACACCTTTGGCACCTTTCGTTGCCTTACACCCTTTTTGGGTAGGCTGGGCCGTCGTGGGTATTAGACACCTTTGGCAATTACTTGCATTCAAATGCAAAGGTGCCAAACCCTAGTAGCACAAAATTCTGTACAATATTGAACGATATTCGCAATATTGTATAATATTGTACCATATCATATAATATTATATCATATCGAACAATATTATACAATATCGGACAAAATGTCGTGCTACCTGGGAAAGACACCTTTTGGTCGAAATAGGTAGACACACAAAAAAAGAAAAATTGATAGAAAAATTTGGTAGAAATAGTGTTAAAAATTGTGTTTCAGAAAAACAGTACATGTATGTTCTAGATAAAATAGGCATGCGTCATTTATGTGTAAAGCAAAATAAACAAGCAATTTAATAAAAAAAAATTACGACAGTTATGTAACCATGAAATGTTGTTCATTAAATAGAGATGAAATGAAAAGTATATATAAAAAGAGAATTTTCTGTAAGTGCTCCAGTTACAAGTCTATTACACAAATTCGGTTGTTAGGAAAATAATGGGTAGAGAAAAATCTATTACAGGAATATAACGAGGAAATATTTATTTGAAATTATGGTTTTGAGACTGTGGTCTAAAAACGGCTGGTTTCTACATGTATAGATCATATTTTTGAAACTATTGAGTCACAGAATTTAGAAAACAATCAACTACAAAACTGTAATAAGAAAAACCAGTTAAGCCAGTAAATGTTAATAAAACCACTTAATATCAGTTAAAGAAATTTCAACACATTAAGCAATTTAAATAAAAGCAGTTATTAAAACCCTTTCATTAGTGCTCTAAAATCTAGGGAGTTTTTATTTTTATTATTTTCTTATTATTAATATTGAATTCATAAGTTATTATTACATACATTATGGGATCGTGCAATCAATTTTTCCCAAATTGTCTATTAGGTGGTATCGCTAGTATGGTATCATAATTTAATTAAATTAATCCGTTAATTCACAATTAAATTCTGAAATATTAAAATAGTATACTGTCATCAAGAACAT